CAGAAATATTTCGATTAAACCGGGAGCGCACAACTTGAGCGACCGCACACCGTTCAAGTGCAACTCATATGAACATGGTAACTTTTATTCCTGATTGGTCTGAAATGACAAATCCAAGGATTTTTAGTAACGGACCAGGTTTTCTCAAGTGCTCGATGAGCTAATCGAAGTGGCGATTTACATGTAGTTAGATAAAATTAATTCGTCTCCTCGGTAACAAATTTGCATGCTTAATACAAGTAAAATCAGAATCACACAGTTCTTCAAAGTTAAATAATGGATAATCTGCACAAGAAACGCCGAATAAACGGACTATAAATCTATTTGCATAAACACTAGATAATGTTTCTTATATCAAGATCCGTTTAAGAATTTCATATATACGGGTAGAAGCATCATCACAGAACAAGGTAAATCCAAATGTTTTTTTTCTTTATCTCTTCAGTTGTGTACACAAACTCGTGTGAAATGTCAATTATGATAATGAACATCTTTAGGAACACTCTACTTGGCAAAATCCGATCGACAAGCATGTTCTCCTACCCCTTTCTGCTATTCAACCTGAGTGTGACTGATAATCTTTGGCCTCCGTATCGATTTTGCCTGATCGAGTGTTTTTGATGTTTAAAGATTGTTTCTTGGTCGAGGTTTTACGTGAATGTTTGTACACAGAATAAGAAATAGCTTGGATCAGGTGAGGTCAACCAGGTTCTGTGGTGCTTGTTCTTCTCGTTACTATATAATGTTGATTTCGTACCACTAATTGTAATGGCAATTAAACTTCAACCGACCGCATATCTGATTACGTGTTAAGACCTCATTCCTTTTTTTTCACGTACAAACCAAAATATCTTCCTTCGTATTTCCATTATTCAGTGGAAGTCAGATGAACACGCTGAATTTAAGTGTCTATATTACCTCACTAATCAAAATCGTTCTACCTAAGGTGAATTGCACAATTGATTAACTAAGGACTTAAATTTTAGTTGAAATCAATTCTCTGGGAAAGATTTGCAGCTGACAATTTATTAAAAATTGGCTCTCGTAGCTCGGGTGAACTGAATTCTACTTCGCTTTTTCGCCGAGCTTGGCAATTATTTTACAAACGTTTCATCACCAGTCCAGGTGATATCATCAGTGGTTGTGAATTGGCAAGCACTGATGGTGTTACCTAGAGTGAGATGAACCGATCGTAAGCATATTACTAAGCTTGGCGAACAGGCGAAAAAACACGTTGTAGGCGAACATGTTTTCGGTGAGTTCCTTATCAAGCCAGCACAGTCATATATAAGTGAGAAAATAACGGGAAAGTGTCGTGTTTGGGTCAGATAGTCGAGGTCAAGTAAGTATAGCAAATGGGGTGGGGTAGGGACACATTTGTCACTCGTTCTCATGTTCACATAAGAACGGGTTACGTAAGCGTTGGTAAGTGATTTGGGTCATCGCAACGCTCATGCGTGAGGTTGTCCGCTTTGGGCCAGGGAAGTTTAAGTGCCCGAACAAGTGTTTTATGAGCACATAATTCTGGCTCCAACAAGCGGATGATAATTGTCTCGGCGGTTATTAGCGTTTTAATTCGAATAGTTTTGGATTTGTGTTGTGGGGCGAGATCAATGATGATAAAAGCCGAATTAGCAGCCATCTTATGTCCAGTTTCGATCAAGCGTGCAACAATGGAACAGAAAATAACTCCGATTCCCCCGTGTGTAAGCCAAGTGGGTGGATGTTTCTTGATGTGCTTAGATAGCTGCCTTGTCGTACGACCTACATTAGTGGCACCACAGGTGCACTTGAATTGGTAGGTGATCATTGACGAGGTCAACGTAGTCTGTTTATCCGTGTTTTGATATCGGATGAGGGGTGATGTTGAGAACACGCACCTGAGTTTGGTAGCATTGAACGTTGTTTTGACTGCGGCACTCAGGACTCTACTAACCCTTTCAGCTGCTGGATCTCCTTTGAACGAAAGTTTGATGCACACGTCTTTTTCTCAGCTCTATCTGCCACAAACTGTTTTATTCTTTCAGACCAGTTGCAATTGATGAGCATTTCCGGGTTGCCATTATCTGAGAGCAACTTTCGCACAACTGCTTCTAANCTAAAGTTCTTCTGAGCAGATTTATCTTGCTCTGAATAGAAGACAGCGCACGTTACGTTTCTAAGCGAGCGGTACAAAACAATGCAAGTTCGTATGCTGTCCGTTCCATGTGGCTTTTTGGTGCACCTTCCACTGAATGGAGCCATCTAAATATCTCGTAAAATGAACATCCAGGACTGGTAAATCGCTATTTTTTTATTTCTCAACTATTAAGCGTATCCCTGAGTGAGCCATATTGAAGTTCAACAACACATCGTCGAGGTCCAATTTGTCATTGGACACACCTTCATGCACGGTCTTCAGTTCGTCCAGTCCACTCCGGACCCGGAAGCACTAGACTTCAGTTCCGCTCTTGTTAAACAGCTGGTTAGCATGGTAGTAATCCATTAGATGGGTACGTGGTTCAAACCCCTGGGTGTGACAATGGATATGCATTACTTATGTGGTCTAGTAAGAACAAAAGTCGGGTCCAGTAGTTCTGAATGTTCCGTTGACTGGAAGAACTGAGGATTGTGCCCGAAAGGAAAGTCTAAAGGATAGCTCAGTCAAACCAATATCAATATCACCACTAGTCAAAAGTAACAACGAATCAAATGTGGATAATCTTCATGTTTTCAATGACATGATGATTAAGAACAAGTTCGTTTTCTTTCGTTCAACCCTTTCGAATTCTAACCTTTCCCTCCCTCCCCCCTCCCTCCAATTCAACAAATCGCGTGACAGGGACTATCACCGTATTGCGCAACAGATATTGAAAGATTTGGACACAAATACAAACGGCAAGTTATCGGTGGCCGAGATGACAGCGCATAACAAGGATCCGCAGTACGTACATTTCGTGTTAAAAATCTTTCAAAAGTACGACATAAACGGCGACAAAGAGTTGGATGTGAACGAACTCCGAACGTATTTGGAAAACGAATGTCGTGTTAAAAGTGACTAAATGATCACTGACGTCGGCTGTTGTTCAATTCAAAATATCAACAATCCGATTTCGGTTTGTTGTGAATTAGGAAGTGTGTTCCTGTACCAATACTCCCTTTTAAACTGTTTAACCATTGACAAATAATACAACTTTACTGAACCTGCAATGGCTTATCATCATTAAGGTGAACGTTCACTGGATTCCCCTGCACCGAGAGGCTGCCCGATAAATTTCACTTCACAGATCAAAACGGGAATGCAGTATGTCACGTTTCGCTCTATGTGACTGAGTGGGTTAAACCAGGTTTGAGCCTTACGAGAGGTTTCAGTGAGATAATTTACCTTGCACTGGATTTTCCCATCAGATGTGCCGTCTCAGTGCTTACAGCCGTAATGTTTTCAGGTGCATTTTACCGGCATAGATAGAAAATTCATCGGCAAAACATCCAGGTAGTCATCCTTGCATAAATTGTTGTGACAAAGGAGCATCTGCGTTGCACTCGGATTTTTGGAGCAGCTTTCGCGTTCGGTTAGAAGTCGTCAAGATCATCGAGTGTACAATGTTCTCCGGGATCTGGCAAATCCTCTTTCATTTAGCTTATCGTGGAGGACTTTCCTGGAACATTGCCGCCTGTTTTCTGCGTGGGTAGCTTCATTTAACCGTTTAAGCTGTGCCGGGTTGCCCAGCGTAGCTGAAGTTCCTGCGTTCATAATCGCCAACCAGTTACATTGATTTATGTGCTTAATTAGTGGCTATGCACGTGGTCTAAACTCACAGTCATCACAATTGATACGACATTGACCACAATGAGCAATCATATAAAAGCACCAAGCCCGAACATCGCGGAAAATGGCTTGATGCCCCCTCAAGGTTTGAGTAAGTGTTTGTCATGCATCCGCCTATCCTGTACTACTATTTATACCTGGCAGCTTTTTAATAAAAGCTCGCCCCTGGTAAGGTAAATTTGTATGATGACTACGCACATTTGGTGATCTATTTGATTAAAATAAATGATTAGGTTAAAACAGTACTTCTCAATCAGTTCCAGTCTAGATCTTATACCTAGTGGATAGTGATCGCAAGCCATTCGAGCTGCCTAAACTGCTGAGGCTATTTGTATTCTAATTAGAACACATATCTGCAATATACTAGATCCATCGGCGTCTATGCATCCGTATCCTCATTAGGATATCAATCGAAATAGGCGAAGGAGCTCTCCGTGATTGTCATCCCATCTGCCCCCATAACCATGCAAACGCGATCCAACTACCATGGGGTTCGGGTTCCCGCACTATACCAATTAATTTCAAATAACAATCCACTTAACTATAAAGGGTCGACCATTCCTAGGTATGAAATAAAACTTATGTGCTATTTTTTACATATTAAAAGCATATGTTGTCAGACTTGTCTTAGGGGCGTTGGGGTTGCATTTCGGAAGACCCAGTGGATTTCACTTCCTGGTTTTCGGGTGAAATTAAGTAACACATGTAGTAAACAGATTGTTGTGCTCCAAGATATTACTCGAGAGTAAGCTAACTGAAAAAAAGGCTTTCGGAGATCCCATCCAAACATTGTTCACTCGATGATGTTGACGGCTGCTACCTCATAAGGGAAGCTGCTCAGTAAAAACAAGAATGGGACACAGATGTCCCTTTCTCATAACAGTGTCGGCAGGGATGTTCACCCGGTTTCTTTTGCAATGAATTTTCTATTTAGGCCGTTTCAAGTGTATCTGAAAACATCACGGTTGTTGGCATCCAGGTGACACATTTGGCTTTTTAACGTTCAAGTGGGAAAATCCAAAGCAGGGAAGATAGTCTCAACGAAACCTCTCGACAGGGTTCAGGTAACCTCAACCTGGTTTTGCACCCTCCCCCCCCCTTACAGCAGTTTGTCGAGTCATGAACGCTATTCGCTGGGAACTGTTAGTGCGAGCTGAATGCCAGAATAATGATAATAATATAAAGGATAAACCATTCCCCAAAGGAACACGATATACTTCGATTCAAAGCGACCACTTGGTTCTGTCACCCCCATTCACAAGTCTTTCGAGAATTGGCAGTTCTGGTCGTAGAACTTCAAGCGGCGGAGTGCACTAGGACTAAGCTGACGAACGGAACTGAAGAAGTCAGCTATAGGTATGCGTTCATTTCAGATTGCTGCTTTCTTTATGCAGCGAACATTTGAATAAAATCATGTATTGAACAGTTTAGTTTGTTCCACTTCACAGGTAGATTCATAGGCACATCAGAAGCCGCACTTCTTATGGGTCTTAATCATCCATGGTTTGTTCAGTTCACGTTTAACGAAAATCACTAAGCTCAAATTGTCCATAAATTCATCTCTTTGCCACCTGTTACATACAGGTAGCATCCGGCAGAATGGTAATCTGAGGTACGCATTCACAGACAATGGAATATCCATGCACTCACGAACGGACATGCGGGAACCGGGACACGTCAGTCAAATACGTGTCAGGAGTGAACCTCTCCATCGACAGCCTGAAGCACAATGCTGACAAGTGCTCCTGTGGAGCATTAGTGAGTCATCCGTAAACATGTGATCGGTTGATCGGAAATATTGCATTTACTTATTCCCATTACCATTGTCACAACACATTCTCAGATCTGGATGTTTGATTTTTAAACAAAAACCTTTCTTCATTATGTTACATCCGATTGGTCTAAGGGAAAATTTATCATCACGTTTTTCCTCTCAAAGCAACAGTGAATAAAATGAAATAGCGGCGTTCATTTCATTAAAAGCCTAATAAATCGACAAATCTAAACGTTTTTATTTTGTGACATTCTCTATGCTGTGGAAAGGAATAAAGATCCCCAGCAGTGAAATTGCGCACGGAAACGGAAGTCTGTCACCAAAAGCATCATGGCAGTCAAGAAATGAAACAAATCCATCGATGATGGCGTTTGAAGTACTTTTACATTCGCGCAAATCATCAGTTTATTGTGGCACAGTTCTGAGCGTAAAATGGTCAGGTGCAAATAGGACTGCCGCAACGCATCCAATCATTGTGAAGTTTTCAACAATGGATATAGTTCAGAATAGTACATGCAAATTACTATTTCACCGCTTTGCGACTGTCAGTGAGGAAGCCCATGTGACTCAGCGTCAAGAAGCAAATTGATGTCCTGCGGTGTGCACTTAGTTCGATGCCCCACTGTGAATGTGGAGTCCAAACTGAAAAAAAACGGAGCTGCACAGCTGGTCCATGAGTCCTCAAACTCTGCACAGTTTCCTGCTTTTAACGAAACTATTCGCGCATATAAATGTCTACGCCTCCATTTGGTTGTGAATCGGAACAGCCCACCTCTCTCGAAGGTACGTGATTTCCATGAGGAACGTTTCATGAGCGTTCTGATGGTAGTGGATGCAAACACTGACGAGTTGAAACAATGACCGATTTTAAACATGGGACCACACGTACATTATAACGCGTTTCACTCAATCATCCTTCAGATTAACAGAACATTCTGATGGCGTTGACAAACGAGTAAGTCCCCCAAATATATGTATTATTCGACCACTGATCAGTAAACATCTTGCTGATAGTGAACCTATGAAAATATTTCCATAAGAAAGTAGCAGGCTGGAGAAAGTGATCGGCGCCACAGATTCTAAACTCAACCGATTTCTACAGGCTCGAACTCAAATTCGCATAGGTAGAATCCTCGCATGCTGACCATTTGACCAAAGGGTTGCTGACCAAACCAGCTTTCCTTATTTTTTTGGGCGATATTTATATTTCTAAGCATTTTACTGTGGAATGACATCTATACAGGTCAAACCAGCCATATATTGTTTCATAGCCTCCTAGTTTCCGTGTCATTTGGTTCATGCACAAATACGTTGATCATATAATCCTACCAAATGCGAATGTATTCTCATTATTTCCGGACGATTTCTTCATCCGGTTTTGGGTTTCGATGACTAGAAGTCTCTACAGCGTCTGTTGACTTGTCTGTGTCAATGTAGTATCGATCGGGATGAGTCTAGTTAGTGAGGACCGCGGCTAAAATGAGTAGTCACAAACGGTCAGCAGTGCGTGATTGCGTATTTGTACCCAATAAGTTCACGTCGACAATGAGAGTCCTTGTGATATTTGATCAATCATCCCTCTTGATCTGTAAAGATATCACAGAAATTGATTACTTATATTCAACACCCGAGGGAAGCGGGAGGACACAGAACACAGTGAATTAATGAACACTTACTTCACTTCAGCCGAATTTTTGCAAACACTAATCATGCATCGAAAATGTTTACCTCCGCTTGTTTCGAATCTCTGAATTGTGACATTTAATTAGAGCTATTTTACACCATTCACAGATCGATTCGTATTGTCGTTATCGATGTCATTACCTGTTTGTAATGACGCAATTTGCATACTGCTGTCAGGTGTCGGAAAACGATCAATCAAACGATCATTTTTCATACTGTAACGAATCCGGTAATGTAGTATGTTTTGCTCCTTCGGGACGGCACGTGGGTTGTAAGACCACATAAAAAGCGAAGAGAGGTCGAGTGCTATCAAAGAACCGTTTTTGGATGATTGGTGATCTGACGTCCGAGTATAACACAGTTTCGTGATACATCCCGAGCCACGAAACTGTATTCCAGTATCAGTGGAGCCCATGTCATCATTGGGCAATCTTACTATCCACATGCCATCCCGATGAATGCTCAACATTTCTATCCCAACTACCAAACCCAGCCCCAGACTGATTAGTAGTACACTATGGCTAAGGGGCTTGAAGATCTGCACTATTTTGGCACACGTGTAACTAACTCACAGGCTCTTGAAGGAGAAAGAGAAAAGCTCACTTTCCACTTTCTGTTACCATTACCACTTATACGATGTGAGATATATTTAGATGCATGCATGTATGCATGCATAGTTTGTTGAGAGAAATGATGCATAAAGCAACTGAATTTTCTGCTTGAATAGAACAAGCCACACAATGTGATCACAAATGTTAATAGCCATCAGTTTTGCACGCTCCTAGTAGACACATTGGAAGCCAATTGAAAGTGCGTCAGCTGTGTGACTCCCATCCGATCTGTTCATGATTTGTGTAGCGTGTTCTATTCCATTTTTCCCGTCCTCTAAACTCCGCATTTTCTTCCAAATATCTCATTTCCATTTTAATTTTTGCTTCGTTTTTTGAGTAAGCAAAGGTACACTTTTCAGGAAGGGGGAAACGGCCGTGAGTTAACACACAATGAGGGAAGTCAGGTGTATCCAATATCCATGCGAACACATGAAACAAAATGTACTTTACATTTTTCTTGTATTTATTGAATTTATATATTTGCTGCAGTCCTTATTTCATCATGTTTATTGAATGAATATTCAAAGCGGATTTTGAAGCTTTCCGCCAATTACCAGAAGATAGCTGAGATGAGCAGTTGCGGTAGTGGATTGAAACGGACAAAGTTTACAGCATCGTTTCTCACTTTTCCTCATCTATCTGATCACATTTAGGAAAAGCTAGCATTCATTCGATTTGCTATATCACACGGATAAAAACGTGAAGTTTGTCATTCCGAATACTGTATTACCTGAAACGGTTTTAGGGTGGCGTGATCTTGGTTTCTGATCCGGGACTGATTTGATCTACATCAGATCTATGCACTGGCGTGTGATATAATCCACGCGACACAGTTGATTTCAACTGGCGCCATCACTATATGATCACATGCAATATCCAACTGTGTGAGCTGTCAGTAATTGACTGGAAGACTTACGGCGTCTGATGAAACCTGGTAACGTGTTCACGGAGCTTACAAATCAATAGCATGACGCCAACAGTTTCTCTTTCTTTCAATCTCTCAGTCTCACTGTTTGCTTTAGGATGTCACAAAAGAAAGAACCCAAATTCACCTGAGCTTGGAGACAATAATTTGTCATATCGGTGAAGTTTGTTAACTCTTGATAGGCTACAACATCTTCCATTCGATGCATGCTGCTGTGTAACCCCAATTTCATTTCTGTATGCGAGACCAAATGGATTTACCGGTCCTGCTGTTTCCCATCGGGTTTTTTATACTTTGTTCTCTCGTTCTAGGGAATACACACGGATCGCTCAATCGTTGCTTGAGGCACTGGACACAGATAAAAATGAGAAAATCTCTGTGAATGAACTGATGGAACTGACGGATTGTGAGGAGTTTCGCTCCTCGTTGAAAGAGCTAATTCGGAAGTACGATACGAATGGTGACGGAGAGTTAGATGTGAATGAACTACGCCGTTGGATCCAGTCAGAAATGGTTGTGGTTGTGAAAGGTCAGATGCCAATGTGATGAACGTGAAGCACGGACTAACCACTCAAGAACTGATTGATGGTGGTTGAACAGGTGCATCTGCCGGTTTCTCTCTCTCTCTGCCGTAATTTTGGTAGAGCCGAATAAAAACATCTTTAATTATCAGCCTTGTTCGCGATGACCAATTGGTTATCCCGTTCGCAGTTGGATCAATTAAAGTGCTTCGTAAAGTGGTACGTCATGGTTTCGTATAAATAGCTTATATAATTTAATCATTTTTCAATTAAGGGCTCAACTACTTGCTTGAAGTGCTGGACTCTGGTCATCCAGAAATTGTATCATTTTGTCCCATTTTCGAACCCGCTTAGGATAAAGCTGTCAGTATCTAAGTCAATTTAATCGTTAGCACAACATGGTGATGAAAAATCATTTCCCATTTTGAATTCTCCGGATGGTGCATTGCTTTATAACGTATTCTCTTGTGTTGATTCTCTGCCAACGATTAGACAGTATAGGATCCGTAACGTATTCTCCTATACTAGTCCGACAATGATTTGATCTATCAGGTTATTCCTTCGATCGGTTGGATCAATTAGTTGCCCAAAGGGACGTGACACTTGCTCAGTTAGCACCAGTCCTTCACCTCAGGCTTTAGAGAATCTCCTGAGCTTTGTACAACTGTCGTCTTCTTTGCATTACAAAATACGATAAATACGAATTTGCTCTATCCTCAGATTAGAAAATTGCAAAATACTTCACACTTTACAAATTGCTTTGATGTTGTTGCACAATCAATCTTGGTTTTCGCCAATAAACTGTTCGCTTTTGATATCCTCCACAATATTATCTAACGGAGACAGAGCAGGTGATTACGTAAGCCATTTCTTTGGTCATCCTTGATGATCTATCTCTCGTTAACATTTGATTTTAGAGCATTTCTCGCTACCACAGAATTGTGTATTCATTCATCTGGAATGTCCAGTATCTTTTCTATTCCCTGGATGGCAGTA